CTCTAATTTATAAAAACAAAACGGGATCCGCCAGCATGCGAACACCGCCATTTCGTATGCAACGACCTAATATCTATGTACCCATAAAATGATAACGTTGTATTGTTAACAGTTCTCCAAAAAAAAAAAAAGATGCAGAAGAATCGTTCAATTTCACTGCTGTTACACGAGAAGCCCGCCTTAAATCTTCCATTGAATTTACCACGTCGCTATATCCCTTCCACCGACTGCAGTAATGTCTCTACAAGTGTCAGCCGGTTTGGATTCTACAAGTGTCAGTATAGATGGTCCTACGCTTAGGTTGCGTCATTGCTGCGCCTATGTTATCTCGCTCGCTGTCAGTCAAGCGTGTAACGCTACACCACTCGGTTTCTTTTACGAACAATTCATAATAGAAAAATATAATTTCTTTAATTTTACTTTTTTTCATCTGAATTTTTTTTAACATGTTGGTGAGATTTTTCTGATGAAAATGAGATCAAACACGATATAATTTGAACAACATTTACTTATTAATACTTATTGAAAAAAAATGTAGGGCCGATTCTACAAGTGTCAGTCAAACGGCAGGCCAATTCTCCAACTGGCAGTCAAACGGTAGGCCGACTCTATGTAATGTAATACAGGGCGTCTGTTTTATCTCAATACAGTGAAATATCTGGCGTGACAGTGAACGTGTTAATAAGTAAATGTTGTTCAAATTATGTCGTGTTTGATGTCATTTTCATCAGAAAAATCTCATCAATATGTTAAGAAAAATTTAGTGATAAAAAAACGTAAAAGTAAAGAAGTTGATATTTACATCGCTTGGTTGCCTCGACTGACGTTTCATGCTTATCTTTTATTCGCTGTCCTTGTCTACGTTTGGCAAACTGCAAAGGCGGGCGCGAGGCTCGAAAACGTAGTCCCTGACTCTATTAGTGTCAGGTTTAGCTTCCTTGCGGTCTGACACTTGTGGAGAATATACTGTAGTTACAGACAAAAAAAATCATCGAAAAATATTAACTGAGCCAATAAAATTCTAATTTTCTTTCTTAGATATTAGTCATATTACATGCTTTTCCAATGAAATAATTTAATGGTGCCTTGATCACGTGAAACAATACTCAACAGGAAAAAAATTGGGAAGCGGTGCTTTCGGTGTTGTCATGAAAGCAGAAGCGCAAGGAATTTGTGAGAATGAGTTACTTACTACTGTTGCCGTAAAAATGGTTCGTCGCACAACGGACCCGACATATGTTCGCGCGCTTGCCAGCGAACTGAAGATTATGGTGCATCTTGGAAGACATTTAAACGTAGTTAATCTTCTTGGTGCTTGCACGAAAAACATTTCTAAACGTACGTATATTCTACAGCAGATCTAGAAGTTTTCATTTAAAATTCTAGTTGCCTTTTGCAAAAACTAGATTGTAAATCAAATCTAATTTATGAAAATAAATTTAACATATATTTGATGTAAATTATTTACTGTCATTAATTTAAATTTGCATTGCGTCCAAAACTCAAAACTTTATATAATTTTTTAATTAAAATGTAACACATTTTAATATTATTTATAATAAACTCAAAATCTTTTGATCTGAATATTTTAAGTATGATTTCAATTGAACTCCTTAATATCAGCATTTTAGATAAAATTAAAGTTTTACTTTTAACATACTTTTATTCTACTCCTTGACAGGTGAATTGTTAGTAATCGTTGAATACTGCCGATTTGGAAATTTACACAACTATTTACTACGGCATAGGGCCGATTTTATTAACCAAATCGACCCAGCCACCGGCAAATTTGATCCCAATATCGGTATCGATCTCTTAACCAGATCTGTCAGCATTAGCAGTAACAACAGGTTTGCTTCAATTTTTCATTTCTACACAGTACATGTATTTATTGATCAGCATGCTGATAACTGTTACATGATTAAATAACTAATCGAATATAGCACGTTAGAATGAAACACGAATTATGAAAATATGTATGTACAATTAAAATCTGTGTAAAGTAACCAATTTGCACAATTTATAACAACAATATTATATTAACAGTACTCGTAACTTTAAACTGTGGGCCCTCGTTTAACGAAATTAATCCGTTTGTGAACGTCTTAAAGACCTCGAGTAAAAGCCTAAAGATCTCCAGAAGACGTCTTAACGACGTCCAGCGTTACAAATTAAGAGGTTTTTGAAACGTGGCGCTGCGAAGTACTATACTCTGGCTTTAGAAACGTCTTAAAGTTGCAATTTTTATAAGTTGTTAGAATTTACTAATTCGTACGTCTTCAAAACGTCCAGATCAGGTCTTAAGACATTCAGACCAAAGATGGACGTAAAATGGACATCTCTAACAATAAGACGTCGTATGCTATCTATATATTTAGGAGTTAACATCAAACGAATGGGATTTCGATAAATTGGTTTCAAATATCATCTATCTTTATTCTATTTTTCCCAATTTATATCTGAATTATGCTTTACACAATAAAATTTACACAGGAAAATTAAATACAATAAAATATTAAAAACCTAATTTCTCTTGTCTTTTAGTATTCGAAAATTTTTAACATTCATTACGTATACATTAATTCTTTATAATATAAATTACAGCCTTTTCAAAGCTATTACAGTATAATTTAATTCAATTTTTTTCGTTGTGCTATCCGTTTTATCCGTTCGTTAAACGAGAACCTACGATGAATGTTTTAATCTCAGAATGAAACATTATGATTTTACGAATATTTTCAAAGATGCATTTTATGTTTTTAACCTATTTGCATATAAGATATAGAAATTGTTATATCTGTGCTTCCTTCCATTCTGATCGATTATATAATACATATACAAATAAAAGAAACTGGCGCTGTGCATGGGGTTGCGGTGTTAACGACGGTTTTGTTTTCTTCTGTCCACACGGCAGGATAAAATACGCAGCATTGTCCTTTTCTCGCAGTCTTAGCGGTACCAATTCTGGCACTGATTCGGTGCACTATCAAGCCGGTACTATGGATTCTCAGGGTGTTAGTATGTCACCAGACGGTTGTGTTCTTAGTAACAATTCATCCCAACCGGGATGGAGATCCAACTATCGTGGCGATTACAAAGATCAAAATTTGAAACCGATCTGTACCCAAGATTTGTTGTCCTGGGCGTTTCAAGTGGCACGTGGAATGGAGTATCTTAGTCAAAGAAAGGTATACATTTTGGTAGTTTTTTTTTTGTCCTTTTTAATTTATGCAATCGAACAAAGAGACCCTATAACTGGTGCCTCGGGTATTTTGGTAAAATGTGGAGGGATAAATCTAGAGGTCGAAAAATGGCATTGTGTAAAATGGTATTTTATTCCAATGTGTACTTTTTATAAACAATTTAAATTGGTTCTATAAAACCCTGGAAATTTAAGTAGTATTCAATAACTCTCAGCGGATCAGCGCATAAGGCGTTTGCCTCGTAAGCAGAAGGTCTGAGTTTCTTCGAGTCTCGTGAGGAAAAGAATTTTTCCTCACCAGACTGATTCACAGCCATAAGACCTTCAGTCAGAATTCAATTGAATGAGAACCGTATGGAAGTTTTAAATAATTGAACTTAAGGTTTTTCATGTTATTAAATATATAGTAATTCTAACAAGTAGCTACTTGACTGAAGCATCTAATTCCTTAGATGGTTTGATCCGAGAAAAAAGGACAAAACGTGACCATGAGTAGTAAATTTTAATTTTTCTCTCTAGAATATACTTGGCGGATGTTAACAATGAATTAAAGTATTTAACTGAAAAACAGACTTTTATCAAGATAAACTGTTGCTTTGTTCCAATAGTACCATTTCTAACATTTTTCGAATACAGGATCATTTAACACTTGACTAGCTTAAATTAGAATGAATTGGATACATTAATTCAAATATAATGTATCAATCCCAATAATAATTGTTATGTTCGTATTACCAATATAAATAGGAATTAATGCAGATTTTTGGAGAAACTACATGAAATGTATCCAAGTTGATTTAATAATTAATAAATATTCTATTAGGTGCTGCACGGTGATTTAGCAGCTAGAAACATCTTGTTAGCCGAAGAGAATGTGGTGAAGATCTGTGATTTTGGTCTGGCGAAAACCATGTACAAAGACAATAATTATAAAAAAAAAGGCGATGGCCCATTGCCTATAAAGTGGATGGCTATCGAATCGATCAGGGATCGAATTTTCTCCACGCAATCGGATATTTGGTCATTTGGCATAGTTTTATGGGAGTTTTTCACGCTGGCTGAAACACCGTATCCTGGAATGGAAGCTGAAAAACAGTACCAAAGACTTATCGAAGGATATAGAATGGAACAGCCTGAACACGCCACTTCTGAAGTGTAAGTTTGATCTTTAGAAAATAAGAACGAAAAATATGGAACAGCTTTGTGGACTAAGTTTTAGGAGAAATTGTAAAAGATCGCGCCAAAACGCATGAAAGAATCAAACATGCATTTAGTAATGATGATTTATCTCGTGCTCGAAACTCTTTTGTTAGTAGATATTTTTGGAAAATCGAGAAACGGTAAAAGATGAGTGTTGATCGAGGCGACTATACTTCATGAGATGGAAAATTAATGTGGAATCTAATCATTTGATGTGCCACCCTGTGATTTCTCTTTGTTTCCAAAGTTGATAATTCTTGGGTTGAAGACAATCATTTTAAAGATAATAGACAAAACACTATAACTTCATCGATTTCTAATTTTTTGTCTAAAAATAAACTGAAGTAACTTTCCTTTAGCTCGAAAATAAGACACGAGAATACAAAATTTTATCGCGTATTTGTGGCATTTTCTAGTGAAATGTTTTCTTTTTATTATCACATAAATTATACTGTACTTTGTAAAATATAATTAAGAACGAAGCTCTAATTTATGTTATTCCTTTATTATTCGTAGGTATGATATAATGCTACAATGTTGGAAGGCCAAGCCCACTTTACGTCCGAGTTTCACAGAATTGGTCAAGAGCATAGGCGTTTTGTTGGAAGAAAGTGTGAGGGCGGTGAGTCGTTTCAGTTATTTTTGTATTCGTTTCTATCTCAGGGTATTATAATTATTAAATAATTAATGTTTAACGATATCTTTGACTTGCAAACATAGAAAACGCATGGAAACTTTTGCAGGAATAAATTCCACGTTTAAAGCAATCTTAATCAACTTTATCGTAATTATAAATAATCCAAACAAATAATCGCATTATTTATGAACACATAAAATTGATAAGACGTTTAACAAATAAATTTTTAAATAAAAAATTAAACGCACACATATATGTGTATATAATCAAATTGATTTGTTTACTTACTGTTTTGCTCATATAATAAATTTATAATAATAGCTTTCCGTATAATATACTATAACAAATTCAGAAATAGAGTAAATTCGGGACAGTTGCCCCACCTTAAATAAAGTGTGTGTTAAAAACATTACTGGTATTATTTATTGCACACAAATAAAATGAATATTTAAAATTTTACGTTGATTCAAAAAAAGTGGCCAATATTTTCTTTAGGACAATATTCACCGAAAATTGGATTAAGAACTAAGGAGATGACATTTGGTCATTCCTCCCGTGATTCCGGGAGAGACGCCCCATATACAGATTCAAGAAAAAAAATACTAAAGAAAAAATCAAAATTATTTATGAGTTCATACTATAAATACTATAAATAAATAAGATTAATTAAGAATCAATCAAGCAAAAAAGAGTACAAAGCGGTGAAAATTACTCTATGTTCAAATTACTCATATATTCAATTTGTATCCCTGGCAAAATATTGCAAATTTAACTGATGAATTCAAAGTTTAGAAAACGAGTTGTCTTTCCCCCTTAATTTGAAAGTGGGCGATCTATCCCAATCATGGCTGGGATATTTTTCCCCTTCTTTCGGGGAAAGATGTCTCACTCGATAGTTTTGAAAGGAAGGATCCAATCTGATCAAGCACTTCCACTGCATTGTCCTCCAATACCTTTACTAAAATTAACACACAAGTATATTTTAAATAACATTCCGTACACTACTCTTTTAGGTTAGGAGTGAAATATAGCCTCGAGCTATCCTTTTTATATATCCAAGAAAATACGAAGAAAAACGGAATGACCATATTCACTTAACTGTTTGTCACGTATTGAACACATGTTCTTCACTATAATGCGCTTTTACATGTACAGTAGGACCCCGGTATACCGCGATAAAAAGAAAAGGAACACAAATTCTGAATTTGTAATTTTGGGTTAATTAAATTTGACCGAAAAAGCGATGTTGATGGAACATAATTTGTATTGTATTTCTCACGTTATAGAGGGTCCTATTGTATGTATATACATATATTAGAATCATTGGGTTAAAGAGAACGTATGAACTCATACACACTTGGTCGCGGCGAGCAACGAGTCACCGACGACTACCAGACACGAGCGACGCACAAGCGACTCGCTGGTCACACTTAAATACAAATAAGAACATCACTCGATGACTCATCAGTGGGTCACGGTGAATGTAACGTAACTAACCAGAAACGTAAACTAAATGGGATATTTTTGTTCATTTTGCAGCACTACATCAGTTTAAACGACCCCTACTTGGACATGAACACGACAATGCTAGAAGATGGCCGTAGTGATTACCTAACAATGCTCTCTGCACCCGATCACACAACACTGTCTTCACCATCTCACGAGTACTCGAACATGCCTGTCTCTAGTCCGCCTGATTCAGCATACCTGTGCATGAGTCCCGCCAGCCAGAGGGACGAATCGGGCATATTCAGCCCGAGGCGACAGGAGGAAAAATCACATTTCGAGTTTCCATCGCCTACCTCCGATTCGGAGGACGCGGTGGAAATATCACCGATGTTAAAGAAAGAAGGAGACGACGATCCGTATTTGAAGCCCATCAATGTGCAGAAACGAAGGGCAGAGTTCGTTCAACAAAGACTGACGGCTAAGGATCAACCGTTGGGTCGACCTATCGACAGGGACTCTGGTTACTGCAACACCCCGCGTCATCTTCAGTTGATTGATCTAAACGAGAAGAGTGAGAAAAATTCAAAGAACACGGAGGATAAGGAGAGATCGAATAATGAGAGCCCAGTGTTGAAGGACTTTCTGCCGGCCATCATCAGAACGCAGGATAATTATGTGAACATGCCGAAGCAGAAAAGTGACTTGAGGACAGACGTGCCAGATAGCTTCAGCAATCCCAGTTACGTGTTGATGACTAATCATGCAATGGATCAGACGAAAGTCTGAGCCTGTGCATGAACAGAGATTGGCTATAATTATTCTGGAGTGGTGGTTAACTAAAGGAAAATCTCTGTTTCAGGCGGGCTCTCGTCGAGTGACGTGAAAATGTCAGAAAAAAAGGCACAATAAGGGAGTGTATTATGTGCACCGGTTACCATTAGTAATTGTTGTACGTAATTTGTTATTTCTATCATGTGTGTACATAAGCGTGTACGTGTAGTTAGTAGAGAAATTAATCTCATACTGCTTCGAATGTCGTGTCTTTAATGTGTGTTGCTTGATCTTCGTTGTGCCATGATAAGAATTCCTTCAGACTTGGAGAACGAGGGGAAATGTGTCGTTTACGATTGACTGTTTAACGAGCTTAAATGTTCGTGGAGAACTCGATTGACGCGTTCAATGTCACGTGATAACTGAGTAATCACCCAGGAAGCAGGAAATAGTGGACAAAATTGTCTTCGATATCGCAAAATAAAATAATAGAATTTCATTTTAGAATTGGTAATTAGATCTTTTTAAATGAAATTTTATTCAACTAGTTGAAACTTTTGAGCGAGTAACAGTACATAAGAGAAAATTTTGACATAAAGTTTATTCAAGAAAACGATATTTCTGGAACACTTTTTGATACGCTTTCATGCTGTTGATATCACGTTTACGAGTCAAATTCTGTTTCAAAGTTATCGAAAGAAATTAAGATAAATAAGAATACCTTAATACTACATATTTATTGATAAATTACATTTTTATACGTACAATTGGAGTGTTTATGATTGGTTAGGCGTTATAACGTAACCAGATATACCTCAATTTTTATAAAGTTTTTTAGATCGACGGTTAACACTTTTTATGAACTTGATCAAAGAATTTGTCATTAATCTAACGTCCACTTGTTTAGTGAAATGTAATTTCGCTAATTTCATGAAAGCATCCAGTTCAAATTCCAAACACTTAATTAGGTATTTTTATATGATATTAGACCATACTTAGTAGTATTATTGTACGATTAAGAGTATATCGTATTGTTAACTGATCAAATGTACAAAAATACATCAAGACAATATCGCGGCGGTGGTAGAGTGTGTATAACGGTGAAATCTAATCCAAATGCTTTTACTAATGTACTTATTATTTGTTCGAAATAGGTACATCGATATGATAACTTCCGATTTAATCATCGAAACGATTTTCGAGAAGTTTACGAAACAACATTCGACGATTTAACTGTATATTTCAAGTGTCTAATTTATAGAAATATTACATACGAATAAGATGACTTCGTTTATCAGTACTTAATACTCAATATGTTACAAGTTATAGGAAGGATTGAATACTGCGAATTTAAAGGATGTATAGTTACAAGAAATTTATGTATGTATCTATTGGAACCAAAGATTTGTGACGATTTAATGTTAATAAAATGTTTTTATTCGTCAGGCGAGAGAACATTGTGCGAAGCGAGTTTTTTGAATTAATTGAAATTGTCTAATCGTGGACTATGTTTAGAATTTACGAAACTTGTACAATAAACTTTTTATCTTCATAACAGGATTTTCTTTTGTGGTAATCGTGTAGTAAAATATAACACGTTTCGTAGGAGAATTATATTTCTACACTTACATCATTGACGATCCTAATGGCGTAAGGGACATCGTGCATTGTCACGTTGCTATGAATACGTCGACCTCGTTTACCAATATCATGCACTAAAGTTTTCTTGTAATCTAGCCATCTGAAACATATTGAAACATATTTGTTAAAATTATTAAAAGTTTGCTAGATAAAAATTGTTTCTTTACTACTTTTTTTGGACATAAATTTCGACAAATCCAACACAAAAATTCGACTTTTTTTTATAAAAAAGAAAGTGTTCAATAAATAACGATATTAATATACAGGATGTTACATTTAAACAAGGACAGTGGAATATCTCACGAGGAATTGAAGCTATGGAAATAATATTCGTACAAAAGTTGTTCGGTATAAAGGGGCACGTTATATGGTATAACTAACTATTTTATAGGTGTAATAGTGAGGGAGATATGAAAGTCAAGTTAATTTTTTCTTATAATATCTTTCTATTCTTAATAATATCGCGTTTGTTGAGACCAGTTCGACGAAATGCCACACGAAGTCATTTCGTTTTATGAAAAATCGTAAAGTAGTGAAGAATCGGGGGAGCCAGGTCAACATGTGTGGCATGTTTTCGGCCAGCTAAACCCTACTTGACTGTGCTACTAACACAAATTCTCCACGATTTTTGTAAAAACATTTTTTTCATAACTTTTATATCTTTTTCTATAATATCTACTTGACTGTGCTACTAACACAAATTCTCCACGATTTTTGTAAAAACATTTTTTTCATAACTTCAATCCCTTATGACATATTCCATCGTTCTCGTTCAAATGTAACACTCTGTGTAACCATAAATGAGTATAATTAATTTTTAAAAGAATACAGCTTACAAGATATACAATTGTAATATAGGATCAGAATCAAAGACGGTGCAAAGTAATATACCTGCGATTCTTAACGAATGTTTTAAATAATCGTTCTTTTGTAGGAAATTTTGAATCCATGAACAATTTGACACGTTCCCAAATATTTGCGCGATTGTGAACGCTCAAAAAATATCGGGGCACCAAGAAGCATCTTACAGGTGTGACAGCTACTATTCTTCGATTAGCCATGTTCTCTCCTAATTCGAAAATACAATTTTCTCCGTTATTTAAATCAGTTCACAGTTCAAGGAATACTTGGAATAAAAGATTTAGCGAAATATTACCTACTCCAAAGCACGCGCCTCTGTTGAATGTACAAATTTGCATAAATATTGTACGTACGTCACTTGGGTAACATTGTTGAGACGTAGATGAAGGTTCTCTCATCAACATTTCCGCTACGTCCGTGATTTTATGCCATTCGTTCACCTGTGGATTTGTAATTTTTATTTAAAAATGATTCGTAACACTAAAATGAGCAGTAATTTCCTTTCCAACGGCAAATTTTAAAGATGAATTCTACGATTGAAATTTTTTTCTCTTAAATATAATATGATCGCGTATCTTCTTACTTGAGTTACTCTGTATATTCCTTTTGGAATGCAAATAAATTCTCTTATTCGTTCTGTGCGCAAAAATAGCAGTTTCATATTTTAAAAATCTAATTTAATAATTTTGCACGTCTCCATGTTGTTTTGTTAATAATTTTAAATGCTACATCGAAGTATAAGTATAAATAGTGTCTGTTAAGTTATATAAGATAATAGAAAATTTGAAATAAAACTTATTAAAGAATTTGGAATATATTCTAAAGTATTTACTTTATAAACACCATGCATTAATATTATTCCAACAGAATAACTAAGAGAATCAATTTATATTTTCTTTTTGTAGAAACAATGCATTGAATTAATTTTTTTGTTTACATGCATCATTTTTTGATTTCTCTCTACAGCCAAAAATCATAAAATACCAAAAATCTATGTTAATATTTAGCGTTTGTTCTACTTACAACATCTAATAGCGCGGTCGTAATTATGCTTGAACGTTCCAAATCCATTTTTCTATCAATTGGCTTCGATGACGCCACAAATTGGGCATAATCTACGAAATCGTCACTACCATGTGCGTCTATGACGTTTACCTTCAAAATTGTACAGTTGTGCAGTTTACATAATACAGTATAAAACATTTTGAAAAGATGGGCAATTTTTAATCATACAATTGAAATAAGTACTAAACTCTGAACTAATATTTTAAGAAAATATTCAAGAAATAAAATTTAAGCCAAAAGTTGTCTGCCATTGGATACATATACATACAAGATTAATGGGCTACTTGTCAATTACCGTTCTTACCTAATAAAGATTTTTTTGTTTCTATTTTTACCTGATACTAAGTTACGAAGGAACTTATCTACTGACACTTTGCGTGATTGTTTTGTATATACCTACATACATTATTATTAATAGAAAAAAGCAGTCAAATACTTTAATTAAATGAACCTTGCTGACTGTGCCGTTCCGAAATTTACTATATGTATATGTCTATCATACCTTGCCATCAGCTAAGAAATATACAATTGTGTCTCCCAAAATCCTACAGATAAGGAATTTGTAAAAATTTTACATTAGTTAAGCCTAAAACTAACAATTTTCGATTACTATATTTTATCTTGTATTTGTTGTGCGTTACAATTATAAGTAATACAGTGTAAGGCGTTGTGCGACGCGCCTAGGCAACGACCGCGGGACCCGAGCCGCAGGGGGCCCTAGACAAGGAGCAGCGCAGGCTGCACCCCCCACCCCACGGCTTGCAGGGCCCTAACGGCCGAAAAAGCGTATAAAAACGGGAAAAAGGGCAGCGGCCCACACATTATCGTACCTAACCACCGACGAGCGAACCAACGTCATTTTAATATCTGTCGTTTTAAGCCCCTTGCAATTCTTTACTCTTACAACAGGGTGACCCGTTTTAATCTATAAGTACTAATATTTTGGAAATTATGTTGAATTGGAAAACCTGCTTTTATTATACTGAAATTATTACTGGCTTCTTATAGCCCCCTCTATACTGAACAACTTTTGCTAGTAAAATTTTTTCATATCTCCAAAAACAACGGAGATATTCAAGTGCCAATTCTTATTGGACCATCCTGTATACAGGGTGATCATCTCGAATAACTTCTAAATTATGCTTTGTACAAAAACTTATTTCTACAAAGGTTACACGGTATCAAGAGGGACATCACGTGGCGTACACGACTTCCTTATAAGTGAAGGCATTTAGGAGATTTGAAGGTCAATTTTGTTTTTTTAAATGAAATGCTCTATTTTTTTAACGGCAGTTCGAAAGCTCGTTAATTTCCAAGTAAAAAGTATTCAACATTGTTTGTCCTAAAGCTAATAATTAACAAGATATTAACGAAAGTTTGATCCGCATATGGTCGCGTTGAAAGATCAATGTCACCGAGTGATTCGCGCAGACGGCGGTGTTTATCTGACAATGTTTAACAACATGTCACGCACTCTTACTTTGATGCTGTCGACTACGATTTCCGCAATTCAGAATCATTTCATTATCGAAGGAAACATACTGTCGAAGAAAAGAGGATATGCGTACGCGTGACTTCTCGGTTATCGATCGCTGTCAAAAAATTTTGACTTTGCACCGCTATTTTTATAAGGCTTAGAGAAATGGTTTTTTGCTGTCATTCCCACGTTTGTATAAATTTTTGAAAAAATTGCAATTAGTCGGAATCGCGCGCGAATGAGCCCCTGTTCTCCGTCCCTGAGCGCGGGCTCTACACGCGCTCTGATTGACCAGTGTTTTTCGTTAATAATTCAAAAATGAAGCTTCAAACAACATTTTGGTAAAGGAAACAGTTGTTCAGAGTCACCCCAGCAACCCCCCATTTCCGAGTGCTCGAAGAGTTACGGGACACCCTGTATGTATATATAACGTATATTGTTAGTTAAAATATAAAAGTTTATTAAATTATCGTATAATATAAAACTTATTGTAAATTGTTTTTATAATTATTAACATAAAAAGAAAAACAGAAACGAACCTTGGAACTTTCATATTCATATTCCAATTCGTCCATTTTCTTCGCTATTTCCAAACTCCTTGATAGACTTACAGTTTCCTTCTTTGTATCTACCTTATCGGGATCGTATAACTCATAATTTACTCCATGAATGGAATTTTGTTCGTAAACAATCATGTGCTCTATTAAACGGCATTCTCCTTCCAACAAGAAATGAACGTAATTCACCATTCCTTTAGCGTCTCCTAGTAAAACCTTAAACAATTATTTTCTCATTTCGTTTACCTTTAGTCCGTTATGATATTACTTAAGAAATTAAACTAAAAAATGAAAATCAATTTCTAATCATAATAGAAAATTACAATTAACTGTAACTAAAAATTACACTAATTTTATGGAATAAGTGTGTAAGTAAATTTTTGTTTGTTTCACTATACAAAATATCTTTGAACTTACTACTTTAAATTGAAAAACAATGCAAACGAAACGCAATTTATGCGAAATGATTATAAAAGTATACCTGTATGTATACATATACTTCGTTATTACGTTTTTTATTTTATAAAAGTATTATGATAATTTGATACCTCGTCGGGTTGATAGTCCTTCAATCTACTGAGAATGCAACATTCTCGTATTGTATCCTCATCCCAGGATTTGAAGTAATTAAAATGAACCAACGCATCCTGCAATACATCCCACTCCTTTTTCAAAGTAGGTCGCAATATATCATCGAAATCTTGCCGAGAAATAAGGAGCAAATCTACCGTGGCTACAAGTAAAATAAAATTTTATTCCTTAATTTAATATTTCGATGAATAATATGAAATTAAAATCGGGGTACTTGATAATACATTGTACTTATAACAATAAAGGGATTCTATATACTTTTTGAAACTACTGTTGCCGATCTTGGTATTCTATGCAGCAAAGCAATTTGACCAAATATATCTCCGGGATTTAAGGTACCCATGTCAATTTCTTGCGATTCACCTATGGATGGTTAATATTTTCAGTATTAGCGTATGTTTTTCGATATTAACAAATACGTTTGTCAGAAATGTAGAAACATTTTGAAACAAACTTTGTTCATAAAAATTTGTTTAAACAGTGATACAAATTTCTTTTTAAATTCTTATGAGATATGAAAGATTTTCCACAAATCTATATGTTTTTCTAATGTAGCAAAGTATAGGTTTTGATATTTATCTATTAATAAACTCTTTATATTTATTTTCGTTTTACTAAATTTATTCTACACGTTGGTCTTTTACGCGTGAAAGCTTGACCATAATACGTTTTGTTTAATTATACTATAATGACGCCCATTTTGTAATACTCGAAAAATTTGTTTCACGTACCAGTCCAACGGTCAGTAATTATTTTCGATAAGCTAACTTCTCCATTTAAAATAAAATAAAGATTTTCTGCCACGCGATCTTGTCGTACAATTACACGACCGGGGCGTAAATACTGATAAGAACACGCTCCTGCTATAATTTCCCTCAAACGATCAGGATACTTCCTAAATACGTTAAATTTATTAAATAATTCGTAGATATATTTTCTGTTGTCCGATGAACGATCTTCTGGCTTCGTTAATAAAGCAGAACGATCCTTGAATATAAGATATATTTATAATGTATTCAGACCTGTTTTATTATAGAAATCTGTATCAAATTATATTTTTATATTTATATTAAGATAAATCCATTGGTTTACGGAAGTCACTGACAGTACGAACCTGCAAGGTGAGCGCCTCTTTCTCAACCTTTTTCTGTTGCGCCATTCGAATGTTAACCGCAACATCATCGCTGATTTCTTCAGTCACGGGTTCTTCGGTTAACCATTCGATGTATTCAAAGATAAGTCTCACCATGGCACGAAAAAGATAATTTCCCTTTAGCCTAATAACCTATTCGCTATTTGTCATTAGTGATTGATAGTGTTGAATTCTGAACATTTCTCAAAATTCTACATCAGTTTAAAAGACATTCATTTTGTTCGCTCTGCTTCAACGAGATCAAACTTACAATTACACCAACTCCAGAATTGTAATTTTATACTTCACTCGATAAATTACTGTTACGTTTGTTAGGGGCTTGCGGTTGATCTTTAGATCGTTCAAGCTTTGCCGGTTTTTGCACGTGTGTGCCGACTAATGTTCTAAGGCTTCGAAGGACCAGTTTCTTGATTGAAACACTAAGTTTTTCTTTTATGTTCTATTTTCTACAACTAATTCAAGATATAAATTCTATTGCGAAGTGAGAGGTGTTTCACTTGCGAGTTGCAAAGTGTTTCTCCCGCGAGTTGCAAAGTGTTTCTCCCGCGAGTGGCTAAATGTTTCTGCCGGAGTCTCTGCGGTTTCCCTCGACGAAGACTCCTATTTTCCCAAAAACACCCTGATTGGTGATTTTTCCTTTTCTAAATCACCAATCAGTTTACACCGGTGTATCGCAACCTCCCTCCATTTCGCCCTTAGCGCGTTATTTTAGGTTGGGGTAGACAACGACCGGAGAAAATGTTCGGTGGACGGATGCGTGGGAATCCTGTGGAATCTCCGCTTTTCTAGGCTTTGTTAAAGTCAAGTGGCCCACCGACGTTGGCAAAAGTCGTGGGCCACTTTTCTATTTTCTGTTCGGAGACTCCAGGATTTATGGCAGGGTCTGGTCCTAGGGACTAAGTGTCGCAGGCAACGCAATAAACACTTGTGGTGTTTTGAAAAAGCGATATTTGCCTGCGACGGCGACCACTTGACTCGCTGCCATAAATCCGGCTACAGGATACGCCTTAACAACGTTCGATTGACACAACGAAATTCTGCAGAGAGTCAATCACCCGCGAACTAATTGATGAATCTGTGACGTGAGTCACACTTTCTTGGAAATTGTTTACAAAGTAAACGTTAGGCACTTTTTTAATGCTTGTGAGGCTTAAAGAAATCGTTTAATGTAGACAAACTGGGTGTCCTTGTTAATTGCTTACACAGATTCTCAGGGTCGTGAAGATCGCTTCAAATCTAGAGATAATTCAGATTAATTTCTTTAACCCTGCGTTAGTATGAGATCATTATTAGAGTCCGCTCGCTATTGAATTTCACTGGTTTTGGAAAATCCCTTTTTGGAAATTGAATATAATCCAGAAAGACATTAAATGTTTCTGACCGCAGTATTAGCCGAGTTTATAATAAGTAGGTGATTGAAGTTTGGTAAATATCCAGAATATATTCTAATCAAAGTACAGAGTGGGCCAAGAGTCACGAAAGGATTTATAATTGTTACGACTTTAACTGCTTATACTTTGTTTTAAATTTGATTGCAGGTATTTACAGTTGACGTTTTGAAATTTAAGTATGGATGAGTTTACCAGAGAACAGCGGACCAAAATGGTGGAATTTTTTTCTCCAAGATCAATTATGTTTCTTTATTTAATGTATAACAAAAATATAACGAAAATTTTAATAACATTCAGTAAATAAAACAAAATTTATAGCTACGTATAGAAGTTAGATGTCGGTAAAAATTGTACAGAAGAGACGAGATATATTTTAATATCGTTAAATTGTATGCTAACATACAAGGTAATCCGACAGAAACTGCAGGATTTGTTTTTTAAATAAAATGTATAATTACTAAAAAATTTTTAAGTTTCTTATTTCAAATCGAAGATTCGAGGCTTCCACCACCCGGAGCACAATTATTATTATTATTCAGGCTTTCAGGTGTAAGCCGTGTCCTTATGGAGAGAGTATTCTGACGTTTCGTAAGCATTACAGCTCACTTCATCAGGGTTTGGGAGACACACTGATAATGTGTCTTATATTGCTAACTGAACCAGTGTTCTCGAATTTTTTAATTAAGTTACGAATAGTATTATCAGATGGGAAATGATTCCTTTAAAAAAATTTACCAAGTTCTCTCTTCGTTTCTGTAATTGAGCGACTACTTTTATGATAAGTTTGCACGATACGTACACATTGTTAAATCGTGTATCGTTCCATTTTGAATTGTCCATGCTGTAGATACCAACTGAAAAAAATTAAAGCGCTACGTTTGATACAATAAAAATGGCGTATAATTCAAGTCCTGAAGTTCCTAGTGAATCACCCTTTGTTATTAAAATATATGAGATATATGTATTTCAATAGTATTAAATAGTATTAAGTTATACTAAAGATATATTTGCTCCTGCAATATGACCTATATGCTCCTGCATGAGTTTCAATAATTTAATAGGACTTTCAGATTTTATACAAAAAAATCAGCCAAACTGTAAGGTATACGGTTTTAAGTGATAATGACTGTAAGGTCATTCCCTTTTTAGATTGCACCACTAGTTCAGAGACACCCAGTATATTATGCATAGGAAAAAATTTGCTGGCTTTTTCAGCAAAATTCAATCTTTATTTTGAAAAAAGCTAAAATAAGCTCAATCATTGAAACATTCTCCATTGTGTTTAAAACTTGTCTTCATCTTTCAGGCAGCATAGAGATTTCATTACGGTAAAAACTTTGTAATGTTGGTGTGACAAAATCATCCATAGATTTTTGTATTTCATTAACTGAATTGAAGTGTCTATCAGCAAGATGATATTGATTAACAAATGATAGACAAAGAGTGCCAGATCTGGCGAGTAAGCCGCATGTGGAAAAATTTTCCAGCTCAAGTGGAACATGGACTTCTTTAATTACTTCAGCAAGATGCGGCCGAGCTTTGTTGAGCGACAGCATTACTTTGTGGCCTCCTTGACCAATGTGAATGATGTCCTTTCTCCAATTTGTCGCTTAAATTCATTAACAAAATGATAAGCGACACGCTATTTTAAACAAGTGAATGTCAACGTTATGAACGACCTAAAAAATGGAAGATATCTCAATTTAAAGTCATTTTATAGACTGTAAAACCAAAAGCAGCCAACTCTTTTCTACACCTGATACATTCTTCTCCCCCAGATCAGGCCCATGGTGGCTACAGAACTCTTGAAATTCTTTTAAGTCAGACTAACATGATTTCTGCAGTTTATCGGCGGAAGTATAAACGTCTGGTGTAAGTATAAAATGATCTCACAGAAGTCAAACAATAAAGGATGTATTTGCTTACTTAATAAAAATTAAATATTTTGATTGGTGAAAATGGTAAGAAGAAATTCTGCTGTTCTTAATATTACTATTGTCAGTATCGTCAGATTCTGAATTGTGAAAAATATTCAAAACGTGACAATAGTACAATATTTGGAATTTTCTTTACATACAGTTATAATATTTGAATTACATTTGGCGCACGTATGGTGCTCATAGTATTATGTGAAATATTAATTTTCAGTAATTACATAGTATGTAAATACTGGTATTTTAGACGAATAATTCATCGAAAATATAATTATACATTTGTAAGGGAATATAATTGTTTGTTATTGATAAAAATTCCTTAAATAATTCTTTAAATAACTTTCACACTACATGCTTTCTAATTGCTACATATTTATAACAAAATTAACTATAATTTATTTAAAAGTAAATAAACTAACTCATAGAAATTGCTCAAATTGTACTTACTCTTTTTGGTACCAGCGATTTTCTTGATAATATTTCGCTAAATGATTCGCGAAGAGAAACTCTTCTGCCGTATGAATGCATATTTTATATTTTTAGTTAACTAGAACTATTAATTCTAATATATACTAATATTCATCACTTCGTGATTTTGGAAGAGTTGATTTGTTAATTTCCCAAATACGTATTGAGCACAAACGACGTGATTTGGTATTACACCACACATACAAGTTGTTTTATCGATAATGTTGTATGTATCCACAGACGAGGTGCATACAGAATAGATCTAATACCCAATGCTTTTTTGTATCACCACAGACGAAATACAGAATAGATCTAACACTTTATGGGACTTGATGTCATATAAACTGAAATATCTGAAATAACTGAAATAGAAGTTTTGTTATGCCCTCTATGATTAAGAGCGATGAGTTTACGAATTTTATTCAGCAAAATTAACGTAGTTGATAAAGTCAACAGATGTAGTACATACAGTGACCGATTTTGAAAAAATTGCAGTTTATGTGAATTGCGAAGTAGATTATAAAGGTCACGTTTTACAACTTTTGTATCTGAGCTCGTAATGAAAATTTAAAAAATAAGTTTTGCAGATCTATGTCAATTATACACACGCTGAAAATTTCATCGAAATCGGTTAATGCTGCTATGAGCTACAAACGGTTAAATATTGTGAAAATCGCACTATTTCACGACTTTCGGCCTAGAACTGTAATAAATCTGCAGATTCTTACATCTTTCGATGCCTGTCGCTTGTTTCTCCATCCACCGATTTCGATGAAATTTTCAGCGTGCGTATAATTGACATAGATCTACAAAACGTATTTTTTAAATTTTCATTACGAGCTCAGATAAAAAAGTTGTAAAAACGACCTTCGCTATAACTTAATTTTGTTACGATTAAAAGCGGTATTCTTGTTCCAATCAAATTTTATCAAACCTTATTCTGAATTAAATGTAGTTTAAGATCCTTGAGTTCTTGTTATTTTTTTTTGGTATTGTATAAATGGTTATTAAAAATATTGGATCACGTACATTGGGTAGCCCCGGTCACTTTTATCTATTGCAAATTTAAAAATCGTACATTTTCCTATTATGATAGTTTGTCCGCTTATATCCTTCCAAGATTTTGTATAATATAAATAATTTTATTTTAAAAACGAGTAAAAACTGCCGAAATTTAAAGACAAATAAGCAATAAAGGAGATGAAAATAACATGAAAGACGCAACTGTTTATGTTATGAACGGTGAATTATCAATAAGATTATCTACCGAAAAATATAACGTGTCACGTAGTTCTTTACAAGATAAAAAGCGGTCAAGGAATAATTCTTAAGTCGAAATTAGGTCGCTTTGACTGAATTTTTAACGAGGAATTTTCATGGCAACTTTATAATCACGTGAAACAATTGGACAATCGCATAATGCCATAGACTAGAACAGTTTTTAAAACTAGCTTTTGATTTGGCAGAGCGTCTTAATATTCCTCATAGATTCAACAAGGAAAAACGAATAGCATCAAAACACTAGTTTGTGAAGTAACTTTCGAGGAAGACTTACAATAATAAATATATAATACTTAATAACATAATAATGAATGATATAATATTATTTGCAACATTTATAAAAATATTTAACAGCAAAGTGAACAAAGAAATAAAAAAATTACTGTCCGGGGCTACCCGTCATTTTTTGAATTGTTAAAACTAACGGCCACAATTCACTGATTTTTTTCTTAAAGTTATATGAGATATACTCAAATTTTAGAATTATAGTAAAAGAAGAAGGTCTAAAATTCATTTTTTGAAAGCTTAGTTTGACTAAATACCTTTTGTTAGTATATTTTTATACTATTTTATTCAAGTGTTCGGGGCTACCCGCAGTACTAAATACACCTATAGAAAGGAATACATAGTTACTGGATGAATTAATTTAACCCGAGAGTCGAGTTACCAGAGTGTACGACGATCATCGGACTCCGACACATTGGACGGTCCGTACACTCCTACTGTTTTGTTGGATGATTATGCCTTTAGTAATTGTTTAACTTTCGACCATTGTGAGTCACAGTGTTTTCGAGGCTGTCTTAAGCTTTGATTAGGAAGGACTTCGTCATCACAGCCTTACTTATCCACGGTAAAGGCTCGAGGAAAACGGTCATCCGTATCCCTTCCTCTCATCATGGATACGTTATAAGTATAATCCCAAAATCCGGAAAACCCAATTCTTGTACTAGCAGTAATAGATCGAACGTTCATATAACAGAATAAAGTCTCGTCCTAAAGCAACGTGATCGTGTGTTTTCCGTGGAACCCAACAGTTTACTCTTTTATTTGTTGTCGAATGACTGTGTTGGGAGTCGTTGATATCGTTCAAAAATCCTCTACACTACTAGGAATAAAAAAGTACAGCAGGCAATTTAAAAAAATAGGGATGACCTTGAAATCTTCAAAGACCCAGCACTTACAAAAAATTATTACTGCCTTATTATACCCCCCCTTCGCACTGTACAACTTTTGGAAACAAAATTTTTCCATATCTCTAAAGATAACGAAAATATTCAAAGTGATCAGAATTATTGCAGCACCCTGTATATTATAATACTCATTATTTAATATAAAATTGATTGTAATTAGCAAATTGATAATTAATATAATATTAAGCCATTTCGTGTCGATTTTTGTGGGAAATTGTCATGTAATAAAAGAATTGAACAAAAAAAGTTTATTTTCTACTGTAGAGATGTTTGAAAAATCTAAGTATACTTTTTATAAATATTTTTCTTTAAATTATTAAAGTTCAATGTGTACTTAATCATTTCCACTTTCACTAGAATCTTCTTCAGCTTCTTCCAACCACTTAATAAATGGTTTTATTGCAGTTCTTACTTTATTCTTCTGAAATTCATCTATGTCTTTATCATTAGATTCGTACCACTCCAAAATTTTGTCTTCCGATAATACATCTTTACAATAAAACAGATGTAACAAACGTTGTAAAAATGGTAGTAATTCTTGAGTTGTACTTGCAACTTCTTCTATAGCATGCAAACAATTTTCTTGAGCATCTTCTGTTTTGACATAATTTAAAATAATTGGTTGAAAATAATTTATCATAATTAATAAATTCTTCTCATAATTTTGATTGGTTACAGTTTCTTTCCTTTCTGAAAGATAATGAAAAGGTAAACTTAATATGGCTTTAATAACATTATATATCACTTCACTCATGGTAATATTGTATGCATATCTTGATGAGTTTATTTCTAAAATTAAGTTTTCACAATTTAATTTATCTTGGAAACCTCTTAGTAAACTATCAATAACTTCAGTTAAGAACATATTTGTATCATCTGGAACTGGTGAATGACATACGGAACCCTCATCGCTAGTTGTTGTATCTGTAGAATAATTATCACATTCCACTGTATCATACTCCTTAAAATACTGAAATTCGTTATCTGTATCGATTTCTGATATTTTCTTTACTATGAGTTTGTTATTCGTTGTTTGCAGAACAGAATCAGTATATTCTGTTGGAGTGTCGATACTTGTTTCAGGACCTAATATACATCCATTTATTTGTGTATTTTGTCCAATAAAACATACTGGAAATGCTACAGTATCTGTAACAGTACAATTATCTTCAATCTTAGTATTTGATAAGATATATGAATTCATAATTGTAACATTACAGCCTATCAAACAATTATAACCAATAACAGATCTTGTAACAGAGGTATTATTTCCAAGTATACTGTTTCGACATACTATACTGTCTTTCTCTAATATAGAACCTTTACAAAGTGTAGCAGTTTTATGTTTATATGTATATCTTGGCATACAAATAAAACCTGTCAAACATGGAACAGCATTTGGTGTAAGTGGAAAACAATGTCTGTTTAAAATATCACGATTAAGAGTATGGTATGCTTTCCATGACATAATTGGCAGACTATAATCTTCAGGATTTAATTGTTGCCAATAAATTCTAGAATTTAAAATTTCTTCATTCATCAGCACTCCACGGATAAAATCTTCCATTGTCTGTTAATAACATACAAAAATTGATCACATTAATGAATAATTTTATATATTACTATACTTCTGTATTTTTACTAAATAATTTATCATATCTCTGAATAAATAAAAGGTTCGTTTTTTGTTATTTTTGAAAACAATATTAAAAAATCTTATATATGATCTACTTAATAATGTGTGAAAATTAAACAACTTACTTGAAAATCAAAATTATCAACGAATAATGGAAGCACAGAAGGGGAACATAAATAGACATGTGTATCCAAAAAGCAAGTATTAATTTCAATCTCACTATGATTCAAAAACCAGTTTAATTCTAGTTTAACTTTCTTTTTATCATTTCTTAGTTTACTGTAATGCAGAATTTTCTTACTGCTTTTATCAGAAACTATTAAACATGCTTCTCTTTTCAAAAGAGAATCATTCATAGAACCAAAGTTTCTTAAAACCATTGTCATTGCAGCACCTTTATCTTTTTCTAGCTTTGCACAATGATTACTTATAAGGCTTGCAAGATTCGCATTAATAAATGCATCTCCTCTTATAAGTATAAAATTACCACGAATTGAACCTTTCGTATAAATGTCTCTAAGAGCATCACCAAAGGATGTGCAACCATCTGATATGATCAAAGAAATTGATATTTTTAAGTTCTCCAAATTTTTGACCTGTGATTTTATTAAATGAACATGACGACTACAATAAAGAAATAATTCTTGTACACCAGATTTAATTAAGGTTTCTACTAAATAATTTAAAAGTGATACATTTATTACAGGTGTTAAAATACTTGGCAATACATCTTTTATTGGTGTCAAGTGTGTTACAAAATCATCCGCCACTACGACAGCTTGAATAATTTCTTTCTTTCCCATTTTTGTAACCATTTTTGACGTTTGAATTGTTTATAATTTTTAAAATAATTAAAACAAAATATTATTTACAAGTTATAGAAATCTAGGTAATATTATTTTCTTCCACATTATTTTCTTTAAAGTTAATCATAACAAAACTTAAACGCGTTTAATCATTATTTATCTCACTGAAAACTGTATACTTGCAAAGATGGGGAAATATCGATAGCACTGTTATCGAAACCTATCGATATTTTTTATGACTATCGATAGTTTCGATATTTGTGTTTTGGTATTGTGAATAATTCCGACATATGTATATATTTATATATGCTGTAAGCTTGTACATAACTTACGGGAATCTTTTGACATCGTGTGTGTAGTTTCCAAATGCTAAAATAAATTTTAAGTAATAAACGTAGCATCGTGTGAACGTAGCTTTAATCACTTGTCATGCATGTTCGTGAATATAGCTTTAGTCTTGTCTTAAGGTTAGGTACGAACTTTTTTTTATAAATGACCACCGATCCAAAGGTGTAGAATCCCGCTGTGGTGTTCTTTACACATAATTTTTATGCACCCTGTGCTTGGCGCATAATTCATATTTGGCGCGTTTAAAATTGACACTACGGGGAGCCACATAACAATTTAACATGAACTCTGTGTTGTTCGTTGTTTATGCCTTTACCACTGACTTGCATATGAAAACGTCAAGTTGTAATTAAATATATAGTGTATTGTGAATTCACATAGCGTGACTATTACATTTTATAAACACTTAAGTTACTTATATCTGAACAATAATGGTAATACATAATATCAATTTTAATTATTTTATATCTGGTAAAGAAAATTTATAATAATTTAAGCATGTGTATTGAGAAAGTATTTATTTTATAATAAGGTTATGTTGAGGATATTTACAATGTTAGTGTTTATGAATAAAAGAAAAAATTAAAAACTTTCGTATCATCGTGTAAAGTAATAACGAAATAACAAAATAATAAAATAATGTGTTTCAGAGTTTTGGTTTACCACCACTTGTCCCAAAACCTACTGTAAATGATCAGTTCAACATTCGTGATGACAATTATGGTATACCCAATCCAATGATTTCAGGGTACTGATATACTATCAATAATCTAGTCACTAAATTTCTAATACTTATCATTAATTGTGTTATTAACATCTCAATCACTGCTATTTAGGTTATCAGCAACTAGACAACATATAGGCTATGTACACCCATTAGAAGCATCTGAAAGGAGTGTAAGAAAATATTTTTGAGTATTGAAATAATCATTTTTTTTATAATATGATGTGCATGTATATATTTCAGTATGAAAAAAATCATACTCGTATGAACATGGTATTGTTAAGAAACACACAAGGATTACATGCTCCAATGCGTATAGCAATGGAATTGAAAGCTACTGAAAAAATTGGGAGACTTCCATTCCTTTCATCGTCAAACTGCATGAAAGATGTGTTGCTAGGAAAAGATGAGGAAATAGGGTAAATTGATTAAAAGTATTTCCTGTTACTTATATTTAGATCAGATAATTTATAATTATGCACTATTAGGATATTAATTGACTTTTTATACATTTAGGTTTGAAGATATATTAAATATACCTGAATTCAGAGAAGAAATGGGTCAGCCTCATGCTGTTGTTGAGAAAAGTCTTGGAATACTATAAACACTCAAACTTTTATTTATAATACATGAATTATTGGCTTTGTATTATTGAATATCTTTAAGTGATAATAAACGTTTAATTCTTATAATTACCTAAATTATTTTGCATAGCTGAATAATGCATTAAATTCATTTATATGAAAAGTCAAATATTTTTGTACATCTGCTTTGCAAGCATACTTGAATCAATGTAAGAATTGTTTGTGCTTTATTTACACATGCATATATTAGAAAAGGCACATGAAATTTTTCTTTATATCTGCAATAAAAACAATTTTAATTATGCTTCATAATCCTTTATTTATATGTAATAAAAGTAACTATTGTAAATGTGTAATATATTCATTCCAAAAAAATAGTGTTTATGTCATAATATAGAAATGATAATGTTGGTTATTCTTATATCATTTTTACCAGAAATGTCCAATTTGTTTAAATATTCATAAAAATGTTTCATGAAACTTTCAACTTATTTAAATGGTCTCATAAATGCTGCATATTATGCAACATCTGAATAATGTTCTACAACATTTCCAAATAGCCGTTCAAATTGTTCAGAAATTAATGTATTTAGGATATAGTACAGTACCCGGACTGCAACATTTTTGATCTGAATATGCTTTTCCGAGGTACTTTCAGGTTGCTGAAGCCGAAAATAAGGGTCATTTTTCACGGAAATGAACGGTTTTAAAAATTCGGCCTTATGGCCATCAGGTTCGGTTTTGGAAGCATTGTTACGTACTTCGACGAAGTCTAACTCCAAAAAGTGTACAACCTAACTCGGATGTGTTAATCAAACCATTAAAAATACAAAAATTAGTTCAAAAACTTTTGCTAGCTTTAGTTTCATATGGTAACAAGTGCCGACCGGCTTCTGCCAGCCGGAGATTTGTCTAACTTACACCAATACCCATACTCCTCTTTAAAAAAGCTGGTCATTTTTTTCGTTCATTGCGTGTTTTTTGGGCTTAATATATAAGTACATGTATTTACCGTTCAACCCTATACCACATTCATACATATATTATTATACTAATTTATGCGTCTACTAGCAGTGAAGATCTCTTATATGTATATAGAGACATATTATCTTGTATCTTCCGAACGCCTTATTTCCGTGAAAAACGACCCTCATTTTCAGATTCAAAAACCTAAAAATCCCTAAGCAGAATATTTTGCAGTCCAGATATTATATTTCAGTCATGTATTTACTTCTGATATACTTAAAATCCCATATGATCTATTAAGAAAAACAATACAATTTAAAAATAAAATCATTTTTCTATAAATAATTTGTTTAATATTGAAGAAAAATTACCAGTAAAGTTTCATCATTCTTAATAAAATTTATTTATATAGACATAAATATATTTACTCGTTTCTTTTTCAAGACATAAACCTCTTTAAACTTCCTTAGTGGGAAACGTGCACAAAGTTCATAAGATTATCACCAATCAATTTTGCGTATTTAAAATATACTTTTCACGGACAAATTGCAGGTACTTAGTACAACTATCCATCTTTGATACTTTCATACATCAGAAATAAGATACAGAACGATAAATTAAGATTTATTTTTCATTTGAAATGCAGCACAAACAACTTTTCGATACGTTATCGAACTATTGACCCTTAACTGCAATCCACTATCTGCGAATGAAATTCAAGGTCAAGATGTAATTATATAGGTAGTACTACTTGCATAAAGATTTACGAATTTAACATTATCAATTTATTATTAATTTATTAAATACTACAATATATAAATACAAAACTTTTATTTAATCACGTATATACAGTTATGGTCATTAATATCCGGCCACTTTTAGAACAGTATAACTTTTTTTAAATTGGACCAAATGATTTGAGTTTTTTTTAGAAGTTAGAAGGATTAGTTTAGTAGATGACGTGACAAAAAATTTGGAAAAAATTGCAATTTATGGGAATCGCGAAGAAAATAGTACTTTTAATACTTTTAATAACTTTTTTATCTGAACTTGTGAAAATTTAAAATATTGTAGATTCATGTCAATTATAATGATACATGCTGAAAATTTCATGAAAAGTGGTTAACGTTGCTATGAGCAGCAAACGGATAAAAATTGTGAAAATTGCTGCTTTCCAATGCCTCTCGCTTGTTTCTGCATCATCCGATTTTGGTGAAATTTTCAGTATATATATATGTATAACTGACCAATTTAAAAGTTTAGTCCAATTTAAAAAGAGTTGTACTGCTCTAAAAGTGGCCGGATATTAATGACCATAACTGTATACATGTGAGTATCGTAATTTGAAAATATGATATTCAAAATGTGTAAAGATGTATTTAAGTTAAACAAATAAAATTTAAATTATTGATTTTATAAATTTTTCTTGTAATATTAAAGATTATACGTTATTCAAATTTTAAAATAAGAAATCATGTATCGATTATTTTACGCACGATATAAATTCGATATTAACACATACATATATGTTATATGCACATATGTAAATATTTAATAAAATATTCTACAAAATGTTATTTTCTGGTAATAGATTTTTATTTACTAACGATTATTTACAAATAATCTAACAGAAAACCACATTCTTTTAAAAGAATGATAAACATTTTGTACTGTCTACAAGACACTTGGAAAGGTTATCGCAATTAATTTGTTAGCGGCTGAGAGACGGAATTGTCGAATTGTTGGTTTAGCCATATGTTCAGTCGTGAGACTTCTTTACTTTAAATACTAGATCATTTTGAAATCATTTTCGATATACATATATCGTAAATTATATATATGTAAATTAAAATTTGAGTTTTTGCCAAGAGAATTGGGTAACTAACGGAGTATTTGTTAACATATTATAAAAAATGTTGAATGTTAAGATATTAGACGGCGGATTTTCAGCGCAGTTATCTACTTATGTTGGTGAAAAAATCGATGGTGATCCTCTATGGACTTCAAGATTTTTATCAACAAATCCTAAAGCAGTTTACGCTACGCATTTAGATTTTTTACGAGCAGGTGCAGATATTATTGAAACGAATACATATCAAGCTTCAATTTCTGGTTTAAGGAAATATTTATCTATAAGTGAAGAAGAAAGCATAAATCTATTACATGAAGCTGTTAAACTTGCTAAAATGGCAGTTAATGACTATACTAAAGAAATTACAGGGAATAATGATGTTGAAAATAAGAATCCTATAATTGCTGGTGCTTGTGGGCCATATGCAGCTAGTTTACACGATGGTTCTGAATATAATGGAGTTTATGGTAAAACTACATCTCGTGAGATTATGATTCAATGGCATAAATCACGTATTAATGCTCTTATAGATGCTGGTATAGATTTGTTAGCATTAGAAACTATACCTTGTTATCAAGAAGCAGAAGCATTGGTTGAACTTTTACGAGAATATCCAAATGTTAAGGCATGGCTTTCATTTTCTTGTGAAAGGAACAGTCAAAACATAGTAGATGGGACTAATTTTCAAGAAGTTGCTACACGTTGCTATAAAATGGCTTTACCAGGACAAATAATTGCTATTGGTGTGAATTGCCTTGCTCCAAAAGACGTAACCCCTTTATTAAGGAATATCAATAATGATACAGCAAATGAATTTATACCATTAATAGCATATCCTAATAGAGGAGAAATCTATTCATCAAGTAAAGGTTGGATAAAAAATGAAAACGATCCCACGTTTGAAAGTTTTATTCCTGAATGGCTAGAACTTGGAATACAATACCTTGGAGGCTGTTGCAGAATGTACGCAGAAGATATAAAATTAATTAGGAAAGAAGTAAATAATTTCAAGACAAAAGGAGCATTTATGAATTAATTTGTTTTATTCCAAATTAAAAATCAGTTGTTTTCATTTACTAAGGTTCACTTAATATTGTTTTTGTTTTAAATAAATAATGTGTTTATTACATATTAATAATAAATATGTATACACATTTTTATATATGTATCAATCCTTCACAAAAAAAATGTGTATTTTTGGGATATATTTTATTTATATATGTCTTTATGTCTCTGTTATAAAATAAATTATTTGTTAATGTTTTTATTTGAGACATATTGCATTACAATAATGGAAACACTATAAAAATCTGAATTTGTCATAAATAATATTAAAAAGTATCTTGTAACAGCTGGAAGAGTATATGTATAGTGAAAAACACAATAAACACTGATTAATTCTTATCAGACACATATTAGATATAGTTTCAGATACTAGAAAATGTTACATATGCGTTAATGTAAAGCAAACGCGTAGTTTATCAAACATGTGTAAGCTCATGATAAAATCTGATCTTTGTGGTATAAAAGCTTTTCGCGACGTAGATACAAGAAAATAATTTTGTTTGAAATTTTATTCACTTTAATATTTATCTGGTAGATTTGTTATGGACTTTGGAATAAGAGTATTCCGTGAATCCAACTGTAGAAATTATTGCCTCAGACTTTCAGTAATATTTAAACGACCAAGACGTTCGTGAAATAGTAAAAATTGACACGTCACTGTTAAGGAATATTATGTGATTTGTAATGTTTCGAATTTAAAGTTAATTTTTTTATTCCTTTACGTGCATAAAGTTAGTTTCTTATTTTTTTGGTATTGACATTATTTAGTAACAAGTACAATAATTTCTATAAAATATGCAAGAAGTGAAAGTATTAGATGGCGGATTTTCTACACAATTAGGAACTTATGTGGGTGATACAATAGATGGTGATCCTTTATGGACTGCACGATTTCTTGTTACACATCCTGAAGCTGTTGTTTCTACACATTTGGATTTTTTAAAAGCTGGAGCAGATATAATTGTGACAAATACTTATCAAGTATCCATTGATGGTTTTTCAAAATACATGAATATCCCAGAAGAAGAAAGTCTTAATTTGGTTTGTAAAGCTGTAGACTATGCCAAAAAAGCTGTAAATTTATACAAAAAATGCATAGAAAATGAAGAAAATATTGTGAATGCAAATCCATTGATTGCGGGATCTGTTGGACCATATGGGGCCTGTTTACACGATGGCTCAGAATATAGTGGCAAATATTGTTCAACCGTCACAGAAGAAATTCTCGTGAATTGGCACAGGCCACGTGTTCAAAAATTAGTAGACAGTGGTGTTCATATGTTAGCAATGGAAACAATTCCATGTGGAAAAGAAGCAAAAGCATTAGTTAAATTATTAAAAGAATTTCCAAGTAGCAAAGCTTGGATATCTTTTTCATGTTGTAATGATGGCAAAAGTATAGTTGATGGCTCTAATTTTCAAGATGTTGCAATACAGTGTTATAAAGAAGCCTTGCCAGGACAAATTTTAGCAATTGGAGTAAATTGTATTGCACCACAAAATGTAACGTCTTTGATAAAGGGAATAAACAAAAATCGGGAACAAGAACAGGTGCCATTGGTAGTATATCCTAATAGTGGTGAAAAATATACAGTAGAAAGGGGTTGGATGAAAACAGAAGAAGGATATTCTTTACACCAATTCATACCTGAGTGGCTCAATTTAGGAGTTCGATACATAGGTGGATGTTGTAGAACAAATTCTGTGGATGTGAAGAAAATACAAGAAGAGGTAGAGAAATGGAAAAATGCATAAATATGTAAATTTTGTCGTAGAAACGGCAAATGTGTAATATACAACTCGAAATATATTACAGAATAAAAATTGATTCTT